ATCTTAATCATCATCTTCATCAGCGTGGCATGATCTTCATCAGCATCTCACCATCTCTACTTGGCCAGCGTATACGGCTTCCATCTTACTTGCTATGGCAACAACAGGTAACTTCATATATCTGGATAACATCATTCCATAACATCAACAAAACATCAACCAGATACGTGCGTACAAGGCATTAATAATGGTTAATTAAATCACATTAACACATGTGATTATGAATAAATATGTCAGCATGTTATACATGACATGACATTGACAAAAACAGTCACAGCAGTAACGATTATAGAAGGTATGTTTTTAAATATAATTAATCACATTAATACAGCAACATGTGTATAAAATTATTATTACTTATTATAAATAACTACTAAAATTAAGTAAATATTATGAAATATTATAACTTATATTAATTACATAGATAAAACAATTTAGTGTACATCACTCAACAAATTTCACGCTTCGACTAATCCAAAATTAAAGCAAGCATGCATCGTACTGACCTGAAAACGAACTGCTCAACCTGTGGGGTCCAGTGTTGGGCGTAGGTGAGGATTTGATGAGGAAGACTGCTCCTACATCGTCTGCTGTTCAACACGAGATTGTACGAGTCGATAATTCTGTCCATCTGAATTAGTGATGTGGTGTGGTGTGGTGTGGTGGTTGTCCAATAGAATGTCGGCAACGTCGGTGAAAGTGGTGTGGATTGTGGTGGGGATTGTGATGAATGTGGTGGTAGAATGTGAATTGATTGTGATGAATCCAAGAAGTAATAGAACTATTAAAAATGTTAGGTAATGTTAAGTAAACTGCTGTTAAGACGATATTTAGGTAATTATATTTCATACCAAAGATAAAAATGCGATTGAGATGAAAAAAAATGCAAAATCAATAAAACATTTTGCTAGGAATTCATTTATTATGGAAATCGGTGCTACATTCAAGTAACTGACCTGTTTGGCAAACAAATTTGTCAGAACATCTGCCTCTTCCAAAACCTGAATCAGTGATTTTAATGGGGTTCGTTAGTGGCTTGTCAATTTAAGAAGTTTTTAATTTTTGCAACATATTTTGAAATTTAAAAAATCGGTTTTGAAATTCATACTAACAACTTCAACAATTAAAAATACAGAAAATATCTTGAATGTTATTTTGTGTAGAAGTGCTACAATCATTATTTTTAAAATTCATTTTAAAATACAGAGAAAAATAGAACGATAAAAATATTACATACAATTGTAAAAAAAAAATAGTTGAAAAAAATTTAAATGGAAATAAAAAAAACGAAATCAAATAACCAGATGGCAGGCATTCTGGAAAGACACCAATCCCAGATCGAAAACCCTGAGCAGCGTCACAGGAGTAGTCACTAGGATGTCGCCGCCAGATCGAGTCTGGTGGGTTTCAAAATTTGGAAAATATTCTTCAAGTTTAAAACCACATGTTTACAATTAGTATATATAAAAAAAATCACTTCAGTGATGGCAAATGTCATGAGTGTTATCACCTAATTTGTTATCTTAATATATGAACATTGACGTAATGTGCAAATAGTCATCGGTATCCTTACCTTACAGCCAAGTAAAGCAGACGACAATCATACCATTCATTCACACATACATTCAATAACATCAGAAGAGTCATCATCATCATTGCTATAATGACTAATAATCATCTTCATCTTCATCGACATCAACAACAGCAGCAACAACAACAACAACATCAACAACAACAACAACAAAACAACAACAACATCAAAGACAACAACAATAATAATAACCTTGCTACGATCATCATCACTCCGACCGACCAGATAGTAGAAGTTGATGTTTCTTGAGTAATTAGGCAGATGCTTCTGATTGGCAAGAAGTGAGTGAAGCTGGTTGCTGACCTTGGCCACAACATCACTTGATGGGCATATTATTATCACTATTGGCTGCGTCGAAATAGAAATAATCATAGTATTGTTATAATTATTAATACTAAAAAATCATAATTTAATGTCATATCATGTAATTAAATGTCAAGGACATTTCAACTTAGCATTAAATATCACCATCACGTTTATTATCATCCTCATCAATCATCATCACGTATATTATCATCATCGCAACCATCATCATCATCAACCTTAATGAAAACAATTAAAAAAATAATAATCATAATTATCATCATAATTTTATCCCAAACACATCAATCCCTTTCCCAAACTTGACTAACATCTCGGTGCCTTTTCGACAGATTCTTGTAAATAGTGCTATAGTTCAACATCAGCAACAACGGCAGCAAGTAACTAACTGTCTTTCCACTGATAACGTCAACCTGATCAATGCAATCCGGCAGATGCCTAGGCACCTGGGGTCCAACACCAAAGACATCAAATAATTTCAAGATGGCCGACCACATGCACGACTGAAGTGCTGTCGGCTGAGTCATTGATTTCAGGTTTTTGTCCTAATTAGGGAAAGGACAAGAAAAAAAATGTCACTAAAAAAAACACATTTGATGGAATGGTGGAAAACAAAAACAGACCATCTTAATGATATTGTAGTACTTGGAGTTTTTCAGATCAACCTCTGCAAATGTTTTTATTGGGCTATCGATCCATATATCATCTGTAGCTGCCCACACCTTGATGGCGTCAATTTAAATAGTTAAATAATTTATTAGAAAATTATTGTACCATAATTAATTAATTAATTATAAAATAAAATTACAAAGTAATAATATAGGCAAATTGGTAAAGAAGTGACGTATGTAATTATCTATTTAATATAATATCTCATTAGAAAATTTTTCAACATTAATTAATAAATTAGTTAATTAATTAATTAATTAATTAACCCTGAATGGAAAAGAATTCTTGCATGGATACAATAAGGAAGACCTGATGGTTAAAGAAAAAAATGTACAGAGGAATGGTTAAAAAGATGAAATGAATTATAGAACGTTATCACTCAAAAATTATTTATCATTTTGTTATTCACTAATAATAATAATAATAATCTAATCATGTATATGTAATATAAACAGTTTCTTTACAAGTAAAAATCTCTATTTAAAAAAAGGCAAAATTAAATCTTGAAGATCATGCAAATTGCGTTCAAATAGAAACTTGATCTGAGATAATTTAAATGTAGGAAAAATGTTAGACGCATATTCTCACAAACAATAAAAGATTTTGAATCAAATTTCCACAGCAACAATTGCAAAATGACTCTTACTCGTCGTCATATTTGATGTTGTACATCCTTCTAGAAAGGTTCGACTTCAATTTGAACAAACCTCTACCACGGCCAAATGAAACATTGTCGTTGTTGCCATCTCCTGCACTGTCGTTGTTGAATAGAGTTGTGGCGGGAGAACATTCATGGATGGTGACCTCATTGAGTGGAGTTTTGATCACTATAGTTTTTGTTGATGTTGTTTCATCTACCTTTTTGATAACTTTATTAATTTTGTTGGCTGTGGTGTCAAAACCGTTGGCAATGGCAGGTGTTGATGATGCATGTTTGCTGCTTGCACTCAGATTTTCATCAGCAGACATGTATCGTGTATTTGTGGTTGTTGCAACAGCTTCATCTTCATCATTAAGCTTGTCAGTGGCGTTGATAGCAACAAGATCATTGTTTTGTAGGTTGTTGCCATGTGTAGCTTCGATATCGTTTACAATATTTACATTTTCATTTGGTTGTAAACTATTCTGATGTTTAGCCCCGGATTCGTCATTTGAAATGCGTAGATTTGCTGACTTCATCAACCTTCTCCTTTCCAACAAATCCTTCAAAATTGCTCCCCTTCCTCTACCAGAAAAGATGGAAGCATTCAGAGTGGCATCTACTTTTAATGGTGGCTCAGTGATTGAGATGGTATCGTCGTTTCTGTATATAGATGACAGAGGATTGCTCGATCGGAATGGTTTCACTGTTGATGTACAGTTGATAGATGTTAAATCCTCTAACCCAAAATACTTTCTACACTTAGAGGGTATGTCGGATTTTAAAAATGCATAATTTTTCTGAACGAAATCTCGATTCAAACAAGTCCAGACTACATGACTACTACTGCAATTATCATTAATGTTGCTACTGTTACTAATGTTGTTGACTGCGTTGGGTGGAGTTGTTGGGGCATCAGCATAGAACAGTAGGGATGGGTTGATATCATCCAAATTGTATTGGTCACCACCGAGTCCAGTGAAAATGACCTTCCATATTTTGTTGTCTAATAGAACAATTTCAAAATACATCATTTGATATTGTATAGAATATTAAAATGTTAAACGTGATATAATAATAAACGCTATATTTAAACGTATGTTTTGTGAAATGTACACTATAATTTGCATACATGATTATTTATAAAGTTTATGAAAGCTGAAAAAACTCACAAAACTCAAAAATAATATTTTTTAAAATAAATAAATAATAAGTTAATGAATAAAGATGAATGTAAAGAACAAAAATACGAAAAAACTCACTGTTCAGAAGGTCTTCAACGTAGTAAACAGCCGAAATGTCATACAAATCACTTGGTCTGAAAATTAGTATGAAAAAAAAAACAAATTTTTAAAATCACATTTCCATATGCAAAATTAACAATGGGATGTCATAAAAAAAGATTGCAAAATTTGTAAACAAACACGCGGAATTTAACATATGAGTGATAAAGACACACTGAAACATGACAAGTAGTTAAAAATGTCAATTAACCAAAAATATAACAAATGAATGGAAGACTGACCCATATCTCACGCCAACATCACCAGTAAGCTGAAGCGAACATGGCTGAATACAGGATAATGAAAGTGTTTGTATCTCCGCTGGGTGTTTCCTCAGGTCTTTACTCAACTTTATCAACCTGGTTATTTGATTCACATGAGGTTAAATTTGCTTTTTTTTTGCAGTTGCATGTCGGTCAGTCACACTGGGTCAATTTGAAAAAATTTTTTTAAAAACGTTCACACCCTCACAACTGACCAGTGTTTTTGTTCTAAGTTTTTCAAACGATTTTAAAAGCACTTTTTGATAGTTTGTTAAAAAACCCTTTTAAATAGAAAAAAATTGACAAAAAAGGTTAAGCAGTTGTTTGAGATTGGTTAGAAAAATGTAATAGCTGGTATAATTATCTATTAGAAAAAGCTTTCACTTATACCAAAGTTATGTCTGTAACATTTAAAATCGGATCAAGTTGACAAAGGATGACTAGTGTGAAAGTAAATGTTATTGATTTAGTATAAATAACAAAAACATTTAAGTAAAAAAATATGATAAGAATAAAATGAAAATATATATTTTAAAACAAATAAATAAATATCCATAGAAAAAACGTATCGTGAGAAATAAAATTATGAAATGAAAATGATAACTTTTTCAATGACACTTCCACATCAGCAGAGCACACGTCAAGAAATTTGCACCTGAATAAATATAAATTTTCAGCAATTAAATTAAATTTTAGATGAACAATATTTACAAAAAATAGAGTAAGACACTTGTGTGAAAAACAAATTTTTTAATGACTTCTGAAACTTTTAACATCTGAAACCGATTAAAACTGAATGAATCTAAATGAATAACTTATTATCAATATGGGTATGCTTTATTGTGATTTTAAAAACAATTAAAATAATCAAGAAATTAAAAAAAGGAAGAAATTAGTATTATTATTGAAAAAAATCAATAAAACAATATTTATAAAAAAACCGAAACCAAAAATCTTACCGAGCTAACTGTTCACTTTTCTTGTTCACAAATTCAACAATTTTGACTCTATAATATGGAACATCCTTCTTAGCGAGAGCTATTCCACATACCTTAAGCAAATTTCAATTCAGTTTTATCAACATTTCAAACTTGAGAATATTAACAGTGAACATTATGTAGAGAAAATGAACTTAATGATGTAATAAAATATTATACTTAAAAAATAGCACAGACATTGAGAGGTTTTTTCTTTAAATAAACAATTTTTTTGTTCTTGTTAACAAAAACATAACCAATTAATAATATTATCCACATTAAAAACATTGTATTCTATAATAACAAATGCCCATGATTCTCACCATAAGACTATAACTATACAAATAGGTGAAAACAAACTTACTAACATCTAATAAATATTGATATTAACTAAAAATAATACATAAATATAAATAAGAAATTTACATAAATATAAAAACACCTAATTGCATACCTCTTTGATTTCAAATTTGTGATTGATGCTCCTATCAAAATCAAGTTTAGCAATCTCATATGATATCGAACTGATCGATGACTCTCTACTGGACAATCGATAGTCATATGTTCCTGGGTTCAAAATCTGCAAAAAATACATTTGAGTTTTTTTAATTATTGATTCGACAAACTTAAATTCTTTAAATTTATATTAATAATAATGAACCAAAAAATGTTAAACATAAAAAAAATAATTATGCGATTCATAGAGATTAACTCTCAATTAATTCTGATGTACACATGTGGTCAGCGAGTTTTGTAATGAAAATTTATAGAACTAATTACCGATTATGTTGTAAATAAATTATTTAAACGTTCTATTATATTATAACTATTACAGTCCTCTAGCATACTCAGTTATATATTTCAGTTAAGAATCAAACTGACCATTTTAATACAAAAATTCATGTAAGGCACTTTATTATAAAGTATGATAGCATTGCCAACAACCGGATACAACCGCTAGTTGTAGAAATTTGAAAAAGTATAATAAGATACTGAATAGGTTGGTGAGGTTGACTCTAACAGGCCTCTCATACACAACTATGCACTAATATAACTCTGTCCAAATGCAAATGAATTGATTAAATTTTAGCATAAAAAAAGTATGGCTTAAATCTTTTTCCTTATCTGACAATATATCAGTCATGAAGTGTGTGCATTTATTTTTCGTTAATACTTAGTTCAAATAATTAATAATATGATGTTCCAAGAAATGAGAAATCAAATAGCATTCGCTATTTGCATAATGCAGTAAGATATAAAATTATAAAAAGTATGCATAGAGCTAAAAATGAACAAATTTTAATACCCAATCTACGATAAAATAAGTTTTAAAATTATTATTAAGTATTATTAAATATTATTAATAATTATTTAGTGATTATTTGATTTGTTTAAAAATATAAAAATAAAATAAATAAATAAACTATAACAAAACAAAAACTAACGTTTACAATTTCAATCAAACTCTCCATTTTTCCTTTATCAAAATATTCAGATTAAGATCAGTCGTATATTTTGAAAAGCAGAACTTTGAATGAGTAGTTATGAAATCGTATCAAATCGAACGTGCACCGAAAACAAAACTGGGAATTCCAAATTGGAAACAAATGCGGCATGCGCTGAAGCTTATAAACAAAAAACGTGGTGTACATCGGATGCACAACATATAACAAACAATTTTATTTTTAATGGAAAACCGTTTTGATTTATTGTTATCAGTAACGTAATTATATTATTTCACTCAAATTTGTACGCTAAATTTGTATAATAAAGTCTTTTGTAATGATTTTATATTATTACATTGCATAATTCTTTGACGCAAACCAAATCTGACGCACTGCTTTGCAAAGAAATAGTTCGAAGCAGCATCAGATAAGTGTTGCTTCTGGCAACAGCTGGAGATTCTTTTAATATCATTCAATTTGAAAAAAATTTAGCATAAAGAAATTTGTCAAATGACCAAATATAAATCGATAACCCTCATGGATATATATAATAATAATATTAATATTCATGATAACCCTATCAAAAATTCGATAAACCCAGCGTCTTTTCAACAAATTTTCTTTTTGTTCACCAGAATAGTACATAGACTTCTATTTCGGAAAAATGTTGGAAATCAAAAGATGTTTGTAACATTAAAAATTACTTCAACATATTTCTAAAATATAATTGCTAGTTGATAAAAAAAATGTAAATAAAAAACAAATTTATGCAAATTGGAAAAAATTAACAAAAAGAATAATATGTAAGATCAAACTTTTGAAATTTTTATTAATATTTTTATCTTTTTAAAAACCTGCATGTATACATACACTTGTACAGTTTTGAAGACGTATTTTGAGGAGTTTGTTGAATGGTTACTGATGCAATTAGGTTTTTATTAGGCGTGAAATTAACTTTCATCAGACAAATTTACTGAAATCTTTCAATTGAGGGTTGTTGTTGGATTGTTGTATGAAGCCAAAAGGTTTTTAAAATTCATATTCTCAGGCCAGCAGAAGTGAGTGCTGTTTATTTGTTTGACTCTTTCATTGGCAGGGTCAACAAAGTTGTATGATGATAAACGAAGTTTGTAATAGATGGCTTTTCTTTTCATGTAAAATAACTTGTAGAACGTGATAACATGAAACCGATTAAAAAAGATTAGGTTCTTATCATATTTAGACTGCACGTGCAGCATTGAAAAGGTTAAAAAGATCCATTATACTCTTCCTAGGTTCCGAGAGATAAACGGGGACAACACACAAACATCGAATGTGAATACGTACAGAACGACGCCTCACACACGAAGCACGTGATAGTATGGAATCTTTTTGACATAATCGAATTCGAACACGAGCACTGCGAAACAGCACCGGGCAACCTTAACCACTGCTAGTTAATAGGTTAACATGTCAATAATTTTTTTTAGGCGTTAAGATGAAGTCAGAAAATAACATGCCAGTTAACATAGTAATAAAATAATGAGCTGCTGATTAACTACCGTTTAAATACCAAAAAACTGGAGCACATTTGTGAAATGCCATACGGAAGACTTTGTGATTTTATGATAATTAAAAACGTCAATGCTTCTTCACGCCAATAAAATCGCTGAAGAAAAATCCCAAAAACACAATAAAACCCGCTTTCAAAATATAAAACTAAATAGCTTTTCATACTTTGGTAGCATTTAACAAGCACGTATACATCAAGCTATTGCTGTTTTAAAACTACATAAAACATACGGAAAACCTATTAACTTCCGGTAAAAGTTTAGTTTCGCAATGGCCGCCATGCTTGTCTCTTCTTTCGTTTCTTTTCTTGCTCTATCTTTTGCTCCATCTCTTGTTTCTTCTCTGCACATAAAATAATTTTTATGTTCTTCTTTCTAAACATTCCTGCCTGATGGCTAGGTTGAAATGTTATTCGATTTTGTTTGTAGGCGCATGCAGGCGCGTGTGTGTCGTTGTGTCTGTGCGTGTCGTTGTGTCTGTGCGTGTCGTTGTATCTGCGTGTTTCGCTTTCCACTTAGAAGCTGGTTGGCTGGAGCATAAATAGATTAGGAAGATATCAGAATATTAAGCACTATTTTGAATGTATTTAATCAAATCAACCCATTGATGCTGTTAATTATATATATATATATATATATATATATATATATATATATATATATGTGTGTGTGTGTGTGTGTGTGTGTATGTGTATGTGTGCGTGTAAGTTTATTCAATTTTTTCCTTCAAATTCGTTTTTCTGAGACCTCGTCAAATGCATGTCAGACGAGGTGAGTGTCGTTATATTCATCGATACATTCTACATTTAATGTATGTGCTTTTATATAAGCAAATATATACATTTATATAATTACATAAGTTTATATATGTGTATGCCATTTGTACTTTTTTCAATGTATACTTAATTAGGTGGAACTGATACTGAAGACTGCGGTGCAGTTGCTTTCCTTACGTCTGGCTGGACTAGTCTGGTGTGCCTTTGTGATGTGCGCGTGCGTTTGTGCATATTTTTTGTGGGAGTGTTTTTAATTTTGTATTATTTTGTTTAGCACGGAGTTTCTTTCTACTAATTTTAAGTTTAAAATTTTAAACTTGCATACATTTCTTTACCTTTTTATGATTAATGTTGTGAAAAAAATTGGCATCTGGGAATAAATATTTCATCGTTTGATTGAATTAAACAAGATAATTCCATTACACACAAATTAATTTTATAATATTTTATTTCATTTATTTTTTCGACGATAATAGAAATAATTGGCAAAATTTATTAAGTTACACCGGTAATAATCGTGATATGGAACGATTTCTGCTGCTCCACGTACTCAGCTTATCATTACATTCTCCTTTTTAATGCGTTCTTTGATCCGAGTGTTCATTGCAATGCCCTCGACGATATTGATTCGTAAATATTTCTTTGCAACTTTATGTATGTCAAGGGTTATCAGTTACGTCATGCCTTGACAAACATTACAAACGAGTTTATTGAGTTTATGTTAACTTAATATCTTTACCAGATATGTCATCTATACATATGTTTATGTTGATGTTGGAGAATTTATGTCTTGGCAATTATAAACCGTTAAATCCATTTTTTTATAAAAAAAAACTTTGCCAATCAAGGTTTTTTGCTGAAGCATTCATCGTAAATTTTAAAAACTAGACCAACCTCTTTTTTTTAAACGCATACTATGATGTCATTCCTTATTTATAATCTTCCCCTTCCTCATTCTTCAGCACATGACGACATTGCTGATGCTGCTTCAGATTGCCATGGAGACTCTGGCATCATCGACCTAATTGTTATTTTATTCCTCTTTACCGTCAACACTGAGCTCCTTAACCCTCATTGAGTATTATAAAGTTGTAGTACGGAGGTTTCCTCATACGTTCGTTCGTTAACAGGTGCCAATGCAGATAATGAGGGATTGATAGGATGAATGAGGAATGATCACATTTTTATTTTGTAAACCTCTTCGTTTAAAAAGTTTGCTTTTGTGTTGCTGCTGCATGCATTAAAGAAACAAAAATGAACAGGAAAGTTCAGAAATTTCATCTTATCTCACAGGTGACCATTAATTACTCTTATTACCTGCACTTTTATATTAGCATTAGTTTTCATAATTTAAAAAATATTACAGCTTGAATTTTTTTTTTGTAAAAATTGAATCAAAATAAAATTTTCAGTAAAATTTTCAAATTGAAATCCCGGTGCCTGGGTGAATAACCTCAAGCTAACGTCTTTTTAACCACAGATGCCTAACATGCTGTTGGTACATAGGATTGTTAATAAGTAGGAGTCCGTTGTTTAAGCTTACCTGTCTTTATTATGGTACTTGATGCATTACACACACACACAACACTTACACATACAAACGCACACATGCACACACACAGACAACACACTTCACTAAATTAAAAATAAAAAAAAATATTTCAGATATCTTTTTCTATTATATATAATTTTTCTTATAAATTTTTTTATATTCGCCGCCATAATAGCCGAAGTTATAATCCCTTTCATCAATAACATAATCAAAATTGTCATCATCTTCATCATCGCCATCGTCGTCGTCATCGCCGTCGTCAGTGTAGACATGTTAATACTCACCAGAACATCAGTGTAGGTACAAACAAGGAGATTCGATAAAGCAAGTACTAAGAACATGCAGTTGATGTCTTCTTAATTTATCGACACAATAATAGAGCTACCTAGATAACAAATACACAGGTATATATACAAATGTATACATGCTTGGGGTATCGGTATTAAAAAATGTTACTATTTTTTTTTCTCTTTTTGTTCCTATTAATATTAATACAAATTCTTCTTCTTCTTCTTCTTGTTATTATTATTATTATCGTCAGTATGCTTGTAATTTATTGATTGTAGCAATAATCTGACCTTGGAAGTTTAATATACAGTAGTTGACTATAAACATTTGAAAGAAGATACACACTTGTGTTGATGTATGCTCTTGTATACGTATATATGTGTGTACATTTATTTCATACATTTAAAAAAGTTTGACAGTAGCAGTCGATATAAAAGTGGATAACGATGATGCACAATTTTAATGGATGGGGAATAATTATTGACGAATTTGATAGATGTGCGTGCAATCTGTCTATTCTATGTAAATATGCATACAATTGTTATGCAGGTATAGTCTGGAAAGTATGCGTGTGTGTATGCGTGTGTGTGGTGTGTGTATGTGTTTGTGAATGTGTGTATGTGTGTAATCTATTATATAGGACATTTTTTTCTATTTTTGTTCCTATTAATATTAATACAAATTCTTCTTTATCTTCTTATTATGATTTCAAGACAGATTAACTTTTCAAGCCAGTTCGCATTAAGTTTTCAAAATTCCAATATTTTTTTCGGATTTTCTTTTTTTATTCTGTCGAAATATTTGTTGACGGCTAAAAATATTCAATAAATTATTCGTAGCGACTGACATTTCCTTTTAAAT